ATTGAGTACCTAGTGTCGGTCATTAATTGCCCGTTTATCAAGATTACATTAGAGTCTTTTAGCTCAGAGATGACATACCTTAAAGCTCCGTTAAGCCAGTCTATTTTTGCTTTCTTGTGAGAAAGTGTTAAAGCGTTTAGCCACTTGTGTGCGAAATATGTATGTGGAATAAATTTTGCCACACGTACGGCAAAACCCTTTCGCCAAGCATGAGCCATGCATATCCTACGCACACGACCAGCATCATCGTGTATAGGTTATACTTAATTGCACATAACTATACAGTTATATTATGTCTATGTATTACCTACTTTTAAATGTATCATTAAGTAAGAAAATTTCCAAAAGTTGAACTATAAAGTTCGTTGATAAGCAGTTTAATATGTAACGTAGCAATCTCAATTGCGAATTATAAAATTATAAAATAAATCTATTTAAAGATTGAATAGCATCGGTATAATATATTGAGGTCAAAAATACTTGCAATTTTTATGTAGCTGCAAAGGCGCAAAGTACTCTCTGTGTCCACCCCGGAAAACTTTTCCTGAGTCGCCATCATTTTGGTCTTCTTTTATGATTTGATTGAAGACTTGCTATCTTGTTCACATGTAAACCGATTCTCAGTCCTTTTAACTGTCGTCACTTGTGTGACCGAAATAATTGCCAAGATATTTTCATATTCTAAATGATTTACGATGTTCGCAACAGTAAGTTCCTTGTATAAAACGACTAGCCCAACTTGATTGGCTTTGGAAAATTACGCTAGAATGAATAACTAGTTATAAAATTGAAGTACTTATGGATCGTTGCCATTGATTTACAATATGCGCTTTTGCCCTTACGAGTAGGGCAACAATATACTTTCGAAAATATTTGTAACGTTAACCTTGATTTACATGTCATCCAAATTACATTTTGTCGTCGATACTGATAATGACCACTCAAGTCAAGTTGATTTTACTAGTTTTATTTACACAGCAGACGTTCATACATATCAGCAGTGCGACTAAGCTGACGCTAAGAGCACTCGAAAGCGTACTTTTGTTATAGAGTCGTGGCTGGTTTAGGTTTTCTTCTGATTTTTTGTCGTTTATACTGAGTTTTGTGAGATGAACCGTAGGTAGGAGCGCAGCAAGGTGATAACGTATAGCCAAATTGCAGAAGAACGTTTTTGTAGAATTTGTTAGCTGCAGGATATATATTTGGGCACGTTTCGGCAACAGGATTTTTCTTACATGCGTCTTATCGCATAGTGATATTATTAGCGGAGATAATTCAATCTAACTTGGCATTTATAACCCGCTGTTTCACCCAGTTATTTGTATCTTGCCCTCCTGCATTAAAGGTTGCACACCACTCAGTTCAGTAATAACCCTATACTTTGAGTAATGACCGGGCTTCTCAAGAGCAGCGATTTCGATTTAGAACTAGAACATTATGCAGAATCCAGGGGTTGAAATCCTTAATCATAAACCGTGTTATGCCAACATCGTCTTGTATGGATATTATATTTCGCGACAAATCAGAATTAAGCTTTCCAATATGTTTGAAATAGTCCTTGTTGTGAAAATGAATGAAACCCACATTTGAAAGTAGTGGCTTCCAGAACCGGATAGCGTTCCATATATGTAGAGAGAATGGTTAGTCACTACCAGACCACGAATGCTACAATATATGCTATGCATAATATAACATAACTGCCACCTCGAAGCCTACAGGCAAAACTGTTAAGATGGGTGCGATATATTTTAGCCAATGTCTCGAACCCCGGTGATGATTATTATTGTTGAAGATTTGGCCTCGTTTTAGATAGATTCCGTTTACAATAATATGTTTTATAATCTATATACTATAGTACTTTTTGAGTGACTTTTATCAGTCATTGGCGCGATGAAGTATGTCTTTATAGAAATTCTAAACATTGGCTGCATTATATCTTATGCTCTGTACTAGTTGTGTATGGTGTATTGCATATATTATTCGGATAGCACAACATCCTGAATTTTTTGAAATCGTGTATATGTAATTGCAAAAGAGAAAAAACGATCCAATATGTCGCCATTCTTTTCCCGTCGCTTCAAAATTGTAACTAGCAAAATTATAATCAAAGACATCTTGAATTCATTAAGCGTTGTTCGCGCCGCGTGTGTCCATTAGAGAATTGTCATTGTGTGAAAGTATGTCCTTTGTTATCCTTTTGTTAATATCACCTCTGCTGTTGGCAGGGTAGGTGAAAGAAACTTGAGACCGTTAAGTTAAAACCAACGACAGCTGTATTGTAATATGAAGGAGAGAAATGAATTATTGGAAATATTGCCATCAGTGATATACAGAAAGGAATGAGTTTAATAGCGAATGTAAAGTAAGATCTAGCTGGATAGAATATACGTCCAGCTTCGAAATGCATTCATTTAAGTTAAGCTTAACGAGAAATGATTTTGACAGAATGTCATATTTAGCAGTGTTGCTGTGGATATTCAGATTTTGGTATTTTTGCAGTCAAGTTGTGGCCGTATGAGTAAGGTTTATATTTTTCAGTATTGTATGAAGCGGGTGACCCAGTAATGTAGTTGCAATTTTCTCTCCATTGCATTGAATGTATATTTTCCATTCCGTTGCAACCACCATTTAAGTATATTTTAGTTGTTAGTTGAGACGGTTGTATGAACTCGCTTTGAGAAGTACTATATAGAAAAGTCCAGTTCGAATTTTCACTTTCCAAGCTCATAATGTATATATACATAATGCATCGACATCACGATCCGTTGATAGTCCAAGGAAAGATATACCGGTAATTTAAATATATTTGAGCAGCAGAAATGCTTTATATATTGAATGATAATTGTGCTGTACGCTGAAGTATCAAATCCAAATTTTAACCGAGCAAATCCATCAACTTATTGTTGTTTTTGTCTCCTTACCTATATCCGCCCTAATGTTTGTATTGATGGTTTGTGTCCTTTGCCTCTCACTAGTTCAACATCCTTATATCATGATTATTACATCGATAAAGAATGATCAGAATGCATATAATACCAAATCCCTCCGTGGAAGAGCTCATTCAAATTGCGATTGGGTCCATGTACCCATTTCTACTCCTAACTATAGCCCACTACGGAAAAGGCAAATTAATTAAATGGCGATTGAAACTGTATTCCAATCACTACTTCTAACTAATTTCCAATATCATGGTTTTGTCGAATTTTACATTCAACACGCTGGCAAAACGGGATGGTAAGACTTTCCGAACGTATTTTTAATAATTGCTATGGTGTATGAAATTTTCAAATCGAATATCATATTAATCAACAAAAAGCAATTCATGGGTTGAATCTACTTCAGGGTTTTTGTACAGTTCTGAGCTTGCAATCTGGTATTGTTCCGATTTTACGATTTCGTGCTTTGAAAAGCAAGCAATTTCTGACTTTAAGTAGTGAAATTTACTCTTTTCTGTTTGTAGGTAATATTCACGTCATAATGTTTTTCTCTCCAAATTGACTTACTGATACAATCGATCATTGGAATTTCGACTCATATTTGCCCACTGTAAATAATATGAATAATGCAGAATGTTGTACCAGTCATTACCTTGTTTATTACAAACTAATGGAAATTGACGAATTATTGTGGTAACAAATACTCGTGCCAGGGTTTGTAAAATGGGTTTTGCGAACTCCGAAGAATCATTGGAAGATCCCAGGGGGAACTTAGATAGCAGTTCATTTTTAAGCATTTTTCAATGTGAAGTATGACGTACGCGTGTGCCTGCTGAAACGCCTCCTTGAATTGCGAAAATCATTTCGAAGTAACGGGCAAATCTTTCACACTAATGTCTAGTATAAAGTATAATAACTCCTTTTGGTTATATCTTATGTAATACCGTTTAAAATTGCAAATACCGAATCGATATATTCCCACATAATTTGGTGTCACTGTCACCTTGCAGTAGGTTTGGGTTAATTATTTTACGATTTGAGTGCACTTAAGATTAGTAATACCATTGTAAGACAAACTGTAAACAAAATTAATGACAAATTAACAAATGGCAAACAAATTGAAATTAAATTTTTTTACTAATTTTAAGCTCTGTACAAAAAATGGCAAAAGATAATAATTTCATTGCAAAAACTCTACAAACTGCTTTTCTGATTAAAGGCAATGATTTGTTATAGGACATTTCCAAATTTCCGGAAGAATACCCGTAAATAACTATTATTCGAGAATGTATATAATTTTTCACAAAAATACCCGTTTTTTTAACAGTTTATAGTCATCTGTATTAAGACCAATTTTATATACCATAATATACAGAAACTCAACACCGATAATTTGATTATAATATTATATTACAACCCAAACCATGGAGGAAGGTATGTATTTATGTGAGACATTTCACTTCACATTACTGGTTTGCCGGCTGTTCATGTAGGTAGATATTCTGTTTAGAGTTTTTAATAGCAGCGATTTTAATGTTTGTATTTCTGTGTTGCTTTTATAGTTTAAGTTTAACAAGTACTGTGGAAAAGGTTTAGCTTTTATAATATTATATTCTTCCCTAGTTAATTTAGTATAGAAGAGTTAGATTATAACCTGAAGATTTTTAGTGGTGAAATATACATACGTGGTCGGAACGCGAAATACAAATTTTTATCAACTTTTATAGTTTTGTTCTAACTGTAAACAGAGACTGTATATTTATAAATATATATATTCAGATAACAATTCTTAAGTTTAGCAGACAGCGATTTTGCAGTTTGAAATTCTATTGACACAATACAGTTGTGTGTGTGTGTTCCCTCTGCCCTGCGATTGGTTCTAATGTTTTTATGGGGAATCGTATAATTGAAAGAATTTTGGGTAAAAAATATGCTTTTTGGTGAAATCACGGTGGTTCTAAATCATCAACTTTTATTAAAATATCTTTTTCATATTTTTCGTGAATTGAAATCTACCAAATTTCTTCTGTGTTTATATTTAATTTTATTCATTATTGTTTCCAGGTGCAACTTGCCAGTATAAGACGATTTCTACATCCTTCCGCGGGCCTACGTGGAAACCGGTGTCGCCCCAGAACTCTATCACCCCTCCGACACAACTTCATAATACACCACAGCATCGTAGTGTAAATAACAACAACAACAATCCATGGAATCACCCGCCGAGTGGACATAAATTCAACCCTCCATATAGAGCTAATCATACAGAAGAAGGTACTACTAGTGGTGGAAACGAATTTCACAAAACTCACGGCCAAAAAAATTCCGCGCGTGTTGTTTTAAAAGCCTTGAGTAAGAAACTATTTTCAGGCAAACCAAAATCTCCTGGATCCGCTAGTGGGCAGCAGGCACTCTCCGTAACACCGACGGTCGATCCGTCGTCTAATATTGCGAAATTTTTTCCTCAAACATTAGCATCCACTTCAAGTGCAGGTACATCCGGGGAAACGCCCGTTTCTCACTTACCAAAATCGTCAAGGGCATTGCGCCCTAGCCCCTTTCAAGAGAGAAAGAAATTCTTTGAGCAAGGGAGTAGTAATCCCACCTCAACAACCCCAGTTTCCCGACATTATCATCAAAATCATCATCGTGAACGAAGTTCCAGAAATAGACCAATGGCTGATGTGATTTCAATATCACGCTCTGAGTCACGTGATTCAGGGAAATATTCGCCACAAGCTTCTGGAAGTCCTGTGGCTACGTCGGAAACAAGAAGTAGCGACGAAGATGCGAAGCAAAAAGACGATGATGACTCGGCCGTGGAAGAGCTGGAAAATCTGGTAAGCATTTCACTGCTGTTAGTTTTTTATCAAAATTTAGAAGTCAAATTATAGTTCAGATAGTTGTGATTTAAGGAAAATCATTGGGTTTGATTGAAGGAAAACCCCGATTGCAGGTCGCTTGAGTTGAGTGGAGAAAAATTCTATTTTTCTGAAGCAAATCCTGTCTCGAGTTACTTGTTCAAGCCACTATAAATATACCATCGCCAAGCACAGCTGCCTGTGATTCGTGATTTTGTTAAGGTCACGTAAAGTGAATTTCAGAATGTTTTGCTTTTTATGTTCATTTCAAATTTATGAATATTTTAAAATTGTTTTACCATTATGTTATTTGCCACAAACAGAAATCTGCTATCTATTGTTGTTATATGCTCATATTTTTCCGAATATGGACATAAACTCGCTTGTTGAGATTATGACTAGGATTTATGATAAACGAAAAAGGCATACTTTCAAGTTTAGGTTTCCACATTATAAAATCGCTTTAGGCGTCGTTAGTCAACTTTTAAGTTTAGCTTACGTATAAGGTCTTTCAGATTGAGAAAGCGAAATTGATGAAAGATTTTGATAAATATGTTATTATGCTAGGATTCAGTGCAGTTGCCGAACTATTTTCTAAAAACTCTTCTTGAACTTTGAAAAAATGTCAGTTAATTTGCTTGCTTTCGCAAATTACATGTACTGGGGTACATCTTATTATATCTCTTGCCAACTATAATTCGGATATATATTATACACACCTCAATTTTAACAACGGAATTGATATAAACTCACCCAAATAGTTTCAATTTTGCCGCTTTTACAAAAGTGGCGAAATTTGCAGTTGCCGTCGTTAATCATCCTATTTAACTAAAAAAGAAATGTTTCATTCGATTTTTAAATTGGAAGCGGGGTAGGTTGTTGGATAAAGAGAATGGAAGACGGTGATATCTGAGGCAGTACCGATTTCAAGCCAAAATAAGCCAAATCTTTCATTGCATTTCACGCAAGAAAAGACGGGTTAGCCAGTCTGTTCAGGTCTGGTCAGCTTTTAGTTATAGTGTTATTGCTATGATGTTGTTGTCGACGACAAATTTTGGGAATATGGATGTATATATATTAATATATATAAAAATACGTATATAATCGTCATTTGAATGTCATCCTACGCAGATGACTGTTGGTCTGACATATTTATAGACAGATGCACTACGGGTTATTTTTATAGCAATATTGAATACTCAAAAAATGGATTCTAAATTTGAAATCAACCTTTATCTAACTATAAAACAACTTTTTTATTCAATTGATATGTGACATCATAGTTTGTGAATGACTTCACCCGGATGAATAACGTTTTTCAATTTATAATTTCAATATATGGAGAGAATTTAAGTATCGATTTGGTATTGAATAGAGCGTTAACATAATTGAGGCAATCCAAACAGTTTGCAAACGATGAAAATAGACCAAATATATATTCGATGAAAAAATAAGTTTCAATAAGTCGAATTGTTTTCCCTGATACATTGATTTTATAGAGAAATATTTTTTCATCGAGCCAAATAACGGATCAATGGCAATACCTAATTTAATATAGTCATTCATTTCTAATTTTCTTTCTAATGAATTAGGGTATAAAAAATTGGACAACTTCAATAGTTAATATCTTTCCACTTCGTCAGTACCCAGTACCTGTCAATTTTAGTGTACAAAGAAAATAATTTTTCATTTTGCAAATTTTACATTTATGGTTTTTGTACTCAAACAAATCTTGAAGCAACTGATGCCTTCCAGCCATCGTCAATTGCGAGTTCAATTTACGTCTATTCACAAGTATGGCCCCGACCTAAATATTTACTATAAACTCGTATGCACCTCGGAAGATAAGATTTTATTGCCATGCAACAACAATTATAAACTTTCACGCTCTGCCGATAATCGATTGTTTTAAGAATTATGGCCTCTGTGACGTCACATAGTCACGGATGTGCTAAATTTCATTTTGCCTCCAACTGTTTAGTATAGATCTATGCATTACTATTGAACGACGGATAATGCAGCGGAAGATAAAAATTCTTTGATACATTTATATTTTAGTATTTGTGAGGTTAGCGAGTAAGGATATACATGTTCGAATCTTTTTCTGTTACTTATTTTGATTTCGAATAATTAGAATTGTTTCGTGAAGCATCAATAAATATAAATTTCACCCAAAATGATTGTTTTGATCATCTTAATTCTCAAAATACCGATTTCACAATTCTTTTGGGGCTAGATGAGTTGTACGTCGGTTGTCTGTGGCAGGCAGTAGAAATTAATCAAGTGCAGTGAAATTATGTTGGAGGAGCAGTTCTGACAGTAAACAATTTCCGGTTAAATTTTTTTTAGATTTGTCGATTTAGCCATTTGTAGACAGTCTTATCACACATAGGCAATGAAACCACCCATGAAGCGATACATTTGATTTCTGAAACTTTAGTCTTCTTCGCGCAGAAGGAGAAAGACAGTAATATACGAGGTTTAATAACCTAATCCTCTCCACCTCCAAGTTTTCAAAATAAAATAACACACAATTCGATCGCAAGCAAGTGACTCCTCTCAGCATTCGCACTTGTTTCCGTTGAGCGTCTTGCGATTTTAGGACTTATTCTATTCAGTTAGCTCCTTCCGTTAGCTGCCAGACATTCGGTAATAGCATAAATCCTCTAGCTATGATTGAAACCGGAAAGACGTGAAATGTGTTCAATGCCAAAGGATGGGAATATGACGCGCTAGCTTATGCTGTTAGGAAGTCCGCTTTTTAGGATGCATTCTACTTACATCCGTTGCCAGTTTTTGCACGCTAATGTAACATGTGGGCAGTTTTTACGTCTAGGTCAAAACGAAATCAATAGTAAAAGGTGGGATCATGTTGCTAATGCGTTATTACTTATCGTACACGGTTGGATATATATAGTTCAGCAAATTTGATTTGAGTTTTTGGCAAAGCTGCAAGTTTTAGTATAATTAGGGATTTACAGTTTTATACGGCTCGTGCATTAATTTCCTCGTTTATAGTAAAACTTCAGAAATGTAGTTCATGCCTAATTGCAATGGAATATAACATGCTTCCTTCTACATTTTTGGAGAGATAATTTAAAATTATATAGTCTTGTGGTATTGAATATTCATATTATGGAAATAGCCCACCATCAGTATCATAAATTGGATACGATAATCTGAAAGGCTCCAACTATTCTAAACGTCGGCTGTAAGAGCCACTTGCAAAAGGTCTGCTTATGTAGAGCCTTTTTTAAAGCGAATAAGTGAAGCCCGTTATTAGTAATAATAATTCAAAACAGTAGGTGTTCAGTTCATGACCCCACACAGAAACATTCAACACATACGGCAACCTATTCTTTACTATTGTTAACTTATTTTCTAAATGTAATTCTATATTTTTTTCACAATCACGGAACGGAAGTCTTATATATAACAGTCTATTTTTCACAAAATACCGCATACTTCGTGCGACGCTTCTGTCATTTAATACCTTTACTTTTGCCAGGTAAATTATAGTTCAAAAAAAAGTCGCGGTGTCACCGATGGATGAGATTTAGTCTCTGACTTAAGTGCAGGCGGCGACATTGGTGTTAAATTACCCGTCTTTTCCTGCTTGTTGACGCCTGTTATTTTCTGTAATATGAAAGTTTATCTCTTATTCGAAAGCCTTTTCACATCATATAAAGAACTTCTTAAAAATGTACATTACTGGGGAAATGTGATATTCCGAAATTCTATTTTGCCATTTATTCCGATTTAAAATTTTTCAACTTCAGAAAAAGCGGCAATTTTCATGTACGTTTTGGATGTCGTGTTTCGCAATGCTGCAATATGTGTTCACCATTAATCTTTTTCACGATTTGCTGTAATACAGTATCATCGGTTAGCCGGTTATCATCTCGTTATTAGAATAGTACCTTAACCGTGAATTGGTGACCTTTTTCAACGGCACTTTCTCGCCAACTTCGAAACTCAAGTTAATAAATAGTTAGGTAAATGTAATTTTCAAGTAGGCGCAGGAAGTTTGGTATGTTTATCGTATTTATTAACACTTTCTCTCGATTGGTTAAATTCGATTTATACATGACCAATTTCGGTATGCACATAAATAAACATAAAATGCGGTTTTGAAGCTGTAATTCGCGGCTAAGAATTTAAGATATCTTTCACCTTGAACAATTCGAGATATTCTACGAACGACACGGCACGCATGAGTGGACATGCTTTTGGCGCGCCGCGACACCGTATATGGAGCGACGAGGTACGTGAGAAATTAGCTTTACGTTCGCTTTTCTTGCACTATTGAGTGATTGATACTGCTGACGACAGTGGAATAAATGCATACATAAATTGACAGGTATTTTGATGTCACTCAATCCATAATTCGTGACAACCAACAAGAAATGGGTGGTATTGGTCGTGATATGAAAATAGACGGCGTATTTATCCAAATAATAATCTTCTCTTTCTGAGTGTATATAGTAAATAAATATCCACTAATAGTGACTCATTTTTACATATACGAAATCAAGGTCCAGAAATGTGCCAAGAATTTCATGAAACAACAATTTAATGCAATTATGCCCATAGTCGATGTGCCGTTATTTTGGGACTAAATACTTGTCTGTTGTCTCCAACGTGGAAAGATAAATCTATGTTCACAATCAACTTTTCAACTGGTCTGATTTCTATTTCAAACAATATCTTTTTTAATTTTTCAAATTTTTGTTGAACTTAACCTACTTCAGAGTGTGTTCGATATTCCACATTGAAAATATTTTTTCAAATGTTATCAGGATGATGAATTATTACTATAATTCTGTCCCTATACCCACGTTTATTTTGAGATATATTCCGATAATGTAAAACTGAAAAGGGTCAAAACCATTATTTATAGGACAAGAACAAAAAACGAATCCATCCTGTCCTTCATCAATCTCAGGAAGGTACAGTTAATTCACGAAAAATGACAGCAC